GGAGCTCATGGGGAAAACCTTCTCATAACCTCGCCATATCTGTGCTGAGCTGTATCAGATGTTCCAGCTCAGCACAAGAACGAATGAGATGTCACATCAACGACAACATGTAGGTAGATGGCCCGAATTACCTACCATGCAGAACAAGTCTCTGCCTATATGTAGTAGTGAGCCAAACCTTATGCCGGTACTGTTTCCACACCGACAAATCATGGATTGAGTGTATTCAGTGCCGGTTACGCCACATGCTGATGTTTGACAATAGCGAATCCACACCCTCGCCACTACCGGCTGCCGCGACTCATCTAGTTTTAGACCAATTACGATAGGCATTACACCACCTTATCGCGCCCGTTCCAAATTGAATTAGGAAGCAATAGAGTTTGTTTTGAGAGATAAGGATCTGGATGGCGCGGTGCCATCGTCTTGCTTAGTTGCTTGCATGATGCAGGTTGCAGCTGAGGCCAGAAATGAGGGGTCATAACGATAAGTAACTAATTGGTTCAAGAAGCGAGACAATTTTAAGGGACCGCAGACAGATTGATGGTTTTGGCCAATCTGAGACATGTTGTGCTGATGGTACGGCGGTTCGAAGACTGCATACAGGATACATTAACACATGCCTGACAGACTAGTGGTTGCATCAATGAACAGAAGTCCCATGTTGGATAACCGGGACAGCTTCAACCAATTTATTGCGTGCAGCTGTTCATGCCGTTCTCGCATTGAACTATATACAATCGGCTGGTACATGTCAAAGTGACGAACAATTGCATTTCCGGCTATGTATTGATGGGCACAGCCGTTGAATGAAGCTTTTCGGGATAGTCTCCAGAGTGGGCTTCAAGCAAAAACTCGCTAAAGCTACTGTTTTTTGTTTACTTATGAGAGGGGGAAAACATGCTGGGATACGACCCCACATCTAACGAGACGGGCCATGTTCGCGGTGCGGGGAGGTGTAGGCATATTGACATCCTGCCAGTTATCCATAATCCCCAGATGAAAGGGTTCTGGATTGTATGCCCTTGCTTATAAGCCTTGCCTGGAGTGGCAGTTGCGGACCATCGGGACGTTCTGAGGAGAGAAGTCCTGTGTGCTGTCTGTCGGAAGTGCCATGTTGGGGACACGAGTCGCGTTTCGGGTCGGTGAGCGAGCCGATGGTCCGACTGGTGAAATGCGGCGACAGACACGTGAGATGTGATATTCTGTTAACTTCAGGCAATGGGAGATTTTGAAGCGAGCGAGATGATGGCAATGGCGATCATAGCTAGTTTTTCTCTTTGAGCGATCTATGCCACTTCAAAGACCAGCCAGAAAGTTAGTCACTGCCTCTCCCAATCCATACAATGCCGTTGTCGCAGCCGTGTTCATGGTGTGTCGTTGAAAATAGGGAAAATAGTCCCACCATGACTGGTGGAGGTAGGCAACCAAAAGGCGACCTAAGGCGGGAACTAGCGCAAGCAGTTTTTAGTGGCTTCACTAAATGCATACGCTGAGCTGTGGTGGACGATTAGTGCAGGATGCCCTTGTTCGGACCCAGGTGACAGTGGGCCTAGACAGGTTCCATTCCACTTTTGCGACCCAGGTTTTGGGATGTGTAGCGCAATGACACGAGCAGAATCTCTGCAAGAGCACGAGGTCAGTCGAGAGGAAAGCCATAAAGGCATAGACCATGCGATCCTGAAGGCATTCTTCCCCGCATTCGATTCTTGAGGTATTTGAATATCGGAAAGTTCTTTTTTATCAAGTAGTCGATTTCATGCCTTGAATGCAAGTGTGGGAGGGGACATTGGCAAAAGGCGGTGGGCGTTGCGTCCTGTTGCTATTGCTGTTGCTGTCTTGCTCCATGTACTGTGGCTGAGCTTGTCGCGCACACTACCATCAGAGTGAGAGCCTGGGCTACCTAGTAAGAGCTAAGGCAGCGCAAAGAGATGAGCTGGTGACCACTGGTTACTCGGCACGGAGCACTATCGGCGATGGAATCCATCCTCAGTTGAAATTGCATGGGACCTAGCATGGAAGATTGCAGCAGATGCCTGCTGCAGGTCAATTGCTGGTGGGTCACACAACAACGGACAAGAGTCGGACAATCAGTGATGATCTGCGAGACAGCGAGCACAAGCACTTAATCTCATCACACCCTCCAAGTTTGAAAGAGCCAAAAAGAAAACAAGGAGAGGGGGGGGAGGGGGAAGTACCATTTTATGGCAACTCAATGGATTTAAAATGCAATTAGAGTCAAAGAAAAATTGCAGCTTTGGCATATAGGAATTGTAATGCCTGATTGACAAAAGTTGTATTATATCCACATGCGGGAAGAGCCACCAGTCAAGAAATGATGGAGGGAGGGTGTCGTCGTGTGTGAGTGAGTTTCTGAAGAGTCCCATCCATCTCAGTCAGTCAGTCACTGATGAAAGGCCCGCCCGTCTCAGATGGAACCGGCGTCGGCGCACAGACTCCCACCATTGCGAAGAAGCAAAGCGAAGAACCAAGCTAAGAATCGCACGTTGCAGCGACATCAGCCTTTCCCTTTTGAAGTGACCTGCAGCCCGAGCCGCCGCCTAATCTCTCTGCTTTAGCCTAGGTCAACGAGGTCCCCTTATCATTTGACTGGACGTAGCCTGTCCTTAGGGTGTTTTTCAATCTTGACCTAACTACTTCTCAGATCAGTGTCATCTGTTGGTAGCGCGCCGCTGATGTAAATATGTTCAAGCCATAAGAAGTCTTCTGGCCAGAGCCCTACTAATAACCCCTACGCCTGTCATGGATTTTGGAACCTGTGACCTGATCTGCCACTGACGTTGTTGTTGAGCCGCATCTGCTCGTGCCTCACTATTGTTGATATTCGTTCTGAATCCACCAGTAGCGGAGCTTGGTTGGTAATGCACAGGGTCAGGGTTAGTGTGGCCTCAAGCACGGGCCTGACCGTTGAGTTGCATTGCAGGCATGGAACCATCTGGATTACTGGGATCTGTCCAAGGCTCTGAGTGCGAAGAGGAGATGAATAGGATACGATACGTGAGGGGCCACCAAATATGCATCAGAAATGCGGAACAGGTTAGAATTTTGAACAGTTTCGTCATAGTTGCTAAGTGAAAACGGTGCTATATATCTCGATATATGACATAAAAGCCGGTCTCTTTTTGGATATTATAAACTATCATGCCAGGCTCTGTTAGTGTTTTCTAAACCTCGAACCTGACAAATGCTGATCGTGGATGGCGGGTATGCAGAAGCTTGCGTACTCTTGCCCACAAACCAAGCTATGGTTTGAGTCGTTGCACAGCGCTTAAGGGTTGACGTTACGAAAATAATTAGGTGTTCAACAACACAGGTCGTCTCTTGCTTAATCGCAGCCCCGGTCATCGGCTCCGAGGAAAACGAATGCAACGACCAGGAGTGAGAATTTTTAATTCCAGTGGCGGGTCTAGCTAACCAATCATTACATACGAATGATGCTACATACCGGGTAAAGACATACGCTAGAAGTTCTGGTCAGGCCCACCGGCAATCGACATGCATGCAAATGTGAAGCTGGTGGAGAGGTTGACACAGACCATCGTCGGTCAAGCCGCCCAATCAAGATACGTCTCTTTGTTAGCTGCATGCAGAATCCAGGACGCTCCCGAAGGATCCCCTCCAAATTAGAACAAGGAAGGACACGACACCAACAATTGTGACTGTACTGTGAACGCAAAGCGTGAAGCAATGGCCATCGGTCTCGTCCAGCAACGGATGGCTCCATTCATTCCTTGTGTTCAAGTGATCACCTGCCGATAGCCCGAGCATTCTGTTGCGATGACCCGTAAAGAGCTTTGCTCGCTGTACCACAAGACACTCTACTTCTGCAGTCACCAGTGGCGAGAGAAGAGTCTCACCTAAACTTCAAGCAAACATGAACCAAGTCGTTCAGATCGAGAGAAGGGCAGATAGGTAGACCATAACCTTTCCGTCAATTCCACGCAGCTATGGACGGAAACACAAGAGTCAGGGACGGAGTTAGACTTTCTTATCTCTAGCTTAACCTCTGACACAAATGCGACGTTGAATAGAAAAGATCAGGCAAAGAGTTTGTCTCACTCCGACCGCGCCCGGCGTTGCTCTACAACAAAGTTTTCCTTCTCTCGGACTTGTCGTCTGCATCTGTTGGTCCAAATCTGCTCATGGCTGATGGTGTATGCAACTTCAAGCAACAAGGACAAGTGAGATGCGCCCCACATGCTGCAAACGAAGTTTCTATCTACCAGGTTACAGTAGAGTAGGCAGTTAGCTGTTACCCAACCCATGGACCCATATGATGGGACAAAACAGGGCAAGGTTCTTTTTTTCTCCGCCAGGTCGTCCTTATCAGACGTGGTTTTTTGGTGTATTCCAAGCTTGGCTGGCTGGACTTCTCTTCTTGACTGCGGTCTCGGTTCTTGCGCAGTCTCCACCAAAAAAGTTCCGCTGCACTTACACGGCTGCTCCTTCCTGGTCATGCTATTTTCCTGTCTTGCCTTGCGACTCGCGCGTAGAAATATCTTGTCTCCCACCCTCTTTCGGTCGATATTGACTTTTCCACCAGTTCAATTAACTCTCGCCTCCAAAGCCTGAATCACTCTATCGTCCAATCCAATCCAGTCTTTGTTCCATCTTGACTGCTGTGATTCTCTTGAGAGTTTCTTCGTGAAAGCCATACTGACCTTTTGCTGCTCCTCCACCTACTCCAAACAAGCAGCAAGCCACTTTCCTTCCACCTACAGCATCTCAACGAAAGAGCCCATTCGCCTTGTCCGTTTGATACGTGGGCTTACTGTCGTCTTTGGCCTTGACCTTTGGACCATCCTCTTCATATCATCACCAAGCCAGCGGACGCTCCTGCCTTCCAAGTGTTATATTGTTGACTGGCCTCTTCGCTCAACATTGGGTGTTTGATCGTGAAACCCGGCCGCTGTCCTCCCGATTGAGCTCGACTACTAGCATTTATTCCATTCCAGCCTGCTACATCTTCCATCAAAGCCATGGCTAAGCTTCGTACTGGTCCTCGTGACCCTGATGCCTTTCCGGCAATGCAGCTCTTCTTGCTGGGTAAGTTTGGCATCTGCTTGCTCCGATATCACGCGCTAACTTTGTAAAGCCATTGTTCGACTCGCAGAGCCTATCGCCTTGACATCCATCTTCCCCTATGCCTGGGCTCTCGTTAAGGATTTCCACATCGGTAGCGAAGAACATGCATCATTCTACTCGGGCATTCTTATCTCAGCCTTCTCCCTCGCAGAGGCTGCTATGGGCACCTACTGGGGCGCTCTATCCGATCGAATCGGCCGCAAGCCTGTTTTGATGATTGGATCGATTGGCACGATGCTCAGTATGTTGATGGTGGGAATGGCTCCTAACTTTGGCATTGCCTTGTTTGGCCGTGCCCTAGGTGGCCTGCTCAATGGAAACATTGGTGTCATTCAAACTATGGTTGGTGAGCTGGTCACCAAGCCTGAGCATGAGCGTAAGTCAAGGCCTTTAGAATGGAGCGTATTCAGACTAATTCTCGTTCTACAGCCCGTGCTTTCTCCGTAATGCCTTTTGTCTGGAGCATCGGAACCATTGTAGGACCCTCCATCGGCGGCATGTTTGCCAACCCCCACGATTCTTGGCCTGGGGCCTTCCCTGCTGGTGGCCTCTTCCAGCGTTATCCTTATCTGCTGCCCAACCTCATTTGCTCCGGCTTGCTCCTCGTCAGCATCGTGCTCGGTTTCCTCCTTCTTGAGGAAACCCACTCTGATATGCATATTGAGCATGTCCCCGCTGTTGAGTGCCGCCCTACCGAGGAGACCCCTTTGGCTCTTTCTACCAACAACAGAATGGTGACAGAAGTTCACGCCGACTCTTATGGTACCATCGAGACCCCAAGTGATATTTTTAGCCATGATTGGGATACTCTCTGCGTTGAGAACGAGAAGGAAGCAACTGATACTCCTGCAAAGACATGGAACCGTCGTGTTGTGGGGTTTATCGTTGCTCTATCTATCTTTACTTACCACTCGATGACTTTCGACCATCTCCTCCCCATCTTCTTCGAGGAGAAGCGTGCTGGTGCAGCTGAAATGATCAAGGGCGCATCCATCTTCCCTTTCCACTCTCCTGGTGGTCTCGGTATGACTTTACGAGATGTCGGAATGGTTCTGGCGGTCGACGGCGGTATCGCTCTGTTCATTCAGGTTTTCATCTTCCCCTGGGCTGTCCAGAAGCTTGGAACTTATCGTTTGTTCCTTCTCGTTACTGTCCTTCACCCAATTATCTACATCCTGATGCCCATGCTTCTTCTCGTCCCTGAGAACCTCATCTACCCCGCCATTTATGGTTGCCTCATCGTTCGCAACATTCTCTCCATCATCCTCTACCCTCTTCTGATGATTCTTATAAAGGAGGCCACTCCAACTGCCAGCGCCCTTGGCAAAGTTAACGGTTTGGCTGCCAGTGCTGGTGCCGCTTGCCGAATGATCGCCTCACCTATCGCTGGGTTCTTATGGGCCGTTGGAAGCAAGTCCGACTGCTCTGCCCTAGCCTGGTATGGAAGCGCCATTGCCGCAGTATTCGGAGCTATTCAGTGCTTTTCTGTTCCTCGCCAACGCAACGAAGAGCCCTCCGAGGAAGCACCCGCGCTGCCTTGCAAGCAGGCTGTTGTTGTAACTGAGACCGAGTTCTACGACTCGGACTAAACGTTCGGCAATACCTTACGACTTGGCAAATCCAGACGTACTTGAACGAATTTGATGTTCTCGTTCTATATTTGATTCGATTGCTTATGGGCCACTAATATTGCGTGTTCCCCATCATGGTAGCCACATTAGTTCGGAGTTTTGATTTATTATGATTTGCTTGCATGGAGCCTGGTAGAAGGCTTCCTTGTATTATGACAACTGTTTATGAAGTTATGTATATATCCTCAGATCAAGCGTTTATTGTGCTGGAGTTGGTCTCTCATGGGGTGCTGGTGTTGGTCATCAAAAAGCAAAGTCGCTAGTATAAGTCTTGGCCATGAAAACAGTTTTGAAGTAACGAGAAATGCTGTATCAAGCTAGACAAAATTATAGATAAACTGAGATGGAGAAATAGAAAAGTATCTTAACCTCTCAAAGTGAAATTGTGTATGCTCGCTCATGTGTCGACGATGAATAGTTAGTTAAATTTCGTTTTGAAGGAAAGAAATAGTATACAGGTATCTAGCAATTTAATGGTCCTTGGTCATTTTACTGTTTGTTCAGATGCAGCAAGTAATGGCTTGGCTGGATGCTGCTGAATCGTGATAAATGGTTGATGCCCAATAGAATTTTCGCCACCCACCAAAAGTTGGAGAAGCTCAAATTTTAGCAGCATCAACATACCTCAAATTGCCCCACCAATGACAACTGAGGCATAAGAAACACAACAAAATTCCAGGAGAGAGAGTAACAGCAGGATTATCTGCCAAGAAACGGCAAATATGCATATCGAAGAGATCAGCGATAAGATGGAAGAGTCTCTGAAGGTCTCCCAACCAGAGCAGGCCACACCGGAGACTCAACCCACCGCAACAGATGCGACAAAGCCCCAACTTCCACCAGCGCATGCCATCGCCAGTGGGAAGACTGTTGATGAGGTGTGGGAGGACCTCAACAAGTCACCTCTTTTCATGACAGACCTTGATGCCAGCGAGGAGAACGACGACATTGCGGCTTTACAGGCTCTTGCCTACGAGGGCACTCCTCTTGAGAACGGCCAGGAATTCAAGGAACGTGGAAATGAGTACTTCAAGATCAAGAACTACGTTGATGCCAAGGAATTCTATGGAAAGGGTATTGCTATCCTTGCGGGCGAGGAGCGCAAGCGCGCGAGGGGCGAGCAGACCAAGAACCAGGAGGGTGTGATTGACACGGAAGAGGAGATTCAGAAGCAGCGAGAGACACTTGAGGCTTTGTACGTTAATCGTGCGGCTTGTCATCTTTCTGTCAAAAATTATCGCAGCTGCTGGCTTGACTGTGCTGCCGCGCTGCGCCTCAACCCTCGCAATATCAAGGCTTACTTCCGCAGTGCTCGAGCTCTTCTCGCTGTGGATCGCATCGAGGAGGCTGATGATGTGTGCGCTCGTGGTCTTTCACTAGATGGGTCAAACGCATCACTCCGAGCTGTGGCAGACGACATCATCAAGCGAGCCAAGGAGATCGATGCACGACGTAAGAGGGAAGCAGAGCGTGAAGCTAAGGAGAAGCGACGAGCGTTACTCATCAAGGCAGCTATGCGAGCGAGGAATATCCCCACGCGCACAACGTCCCAGCCTCCGGAGATGGAAGACGCGGGCATTGCGCTTCTACCAGACCCCGATGACCCACGCAGCACGCTTGCTTTCCCGACAGTCCTGCTGTACCCTCTCCACCTAGAGTCTGATTTCGTCAAGGCGTTTGAGGAGACGCATTCGCTTGAGGATCACCTGAGCTACATCTTTCCTTTGCCGTGGGACAAGGAGGGTGCTTATACAACTGCAGGCGTGGAAGCCTTTGTGGAGACTACACAGGGTGGTTTGCTCAAAATGGGCAAACGAGTGCCGTTGCTCAAGCTTTTGGGAACAGGCAAGGTTGAGGTAGTTGATGAGGTTGTGAGGATTTTCGTTGTGCCCAAGGACAAGGCTGAAGCTTGGACAAAGGAGCATAAGGCGAAAAGGGCAGCTGAGAAGGGAGAAGCGAGCTGATGCCAGATCGAGAAAGAATAGAAAAGTATTTGTATTTTATAAAGACGACTGCGTCGCTACATAATGGTGCATCGATTGCTATGCCTCACTTTCTCTCATGATGATAAGCTATATGCCGCTACCATTTGGTTCAAGTACTCAAAAACGATAATGATAACAGTGATTATTAAATGAAAGGGCGCCTGAGCTATTCCGTTCTATTTGCTGTGCATATATCCAAAACCCCAAGACCTAAAACCTACTCCGAAAAAAACTTTTACACTGCCGTTATACTTATTCTCTCCTAAACTTAAGGCGAAGTTGTGCGTTGTCTCTTACTGCGGTGTTCTTCGATGGAATTGCCTATAGTAATACTGGGAGGTGACATAACTGCACTGGAGACTGAAACTTCCTGTTCTTGTTGTCTGAGGTTTAATAGAAGCAAAGCTGCGCTCTGCTGGACTGGATCTGCTCCGATGGTTGGTCCTCGGACTACTCGCTGCCTCATCGGACTAGCTTCGGGAGTCGCTGCCATCACAACAGAGCTCGTACTCATGTTAGGACTGGCGCTTGCTCTATAATTGTGTCTCCATTCTTCGTTCTTAAGACGCCGCTTAGGCCCCCATGCCGGATGTGGAAGAGTCGGTTCATGGTGCAAAGGTGGGTTGCGAGGTATGGCGCTGAGCCAGGGATTTGGTTCTGGGCTGGGCCGGTTTGCAGGAGTCCAGCTTGAACCTGGCTGAGACGTAACCATATAACCATGGAGACCTGATCCAGTGCTCGAGGCCGAGTTGGGGGCCGACATGTAGTGGCGGTCGGTATCACTTTCCATTGCCCACGATGGATCGCAAACCAGGCGAGGTCGATGCCGGCGTCGATGTTCTTCTGGAGGATAAATTCTTTGCTGGAGATTTCGATCATCTCTGGGGAAGCTTGTCGGACTGTGAAATTTCGGCGGGATTACAGTCATTTGTACGCGCCAAATTTCGGCTTCCCGAGTCGCGTCGATGATTATTTGTTGGTTTATGACCATTCGGCCATATTCAGGCATACCAGGATGTACACACATAGCTGGAAACCCTGGACCGAAGATAGGAATTAAAGCACCCGCGATGGGATGACAGAATGTTGCACAGATAGCTTTGGCACATCGGTACGGCATCCAATAGCCTGTGTGGACAGGTCAGAGAAGAATCCCAGTAGTCGTTGACGCTGCAACATACCTTGAGCAGCTATAGAACCACCAGTAATACTATGTGTAATTTCTTTCAGGCCTGGGTTAAGGCCCAGCATCTTTGCGGGTATTGTCTACTTTCAAGTCAGTCTATGTATTGCGACTCGAAGCATTTAGACTCACCTTTCCATAGCCTCGACATTTGAAAAAGGGGGTCATCCGAACAAGTCCAATGTTATAGTCCCACATGACAGCGTATTCAGTGCCATTTTCTAGAGAAACAAACTCATACTTGAAAACTGGAGGCTTGCGTTAGTCAACAAAAGCATAGCATCATGAGCAACTTACCCTCGAAGCTCTCGCGCCCTGTTTTCTCGAAAAAATCTTTTTTGCCACTGTTGTAAGGAATATGGAGGCACGTCTCGTGAATGTTTCCAAAGGGGGTCACCCGATGTCTGCGGATCTCTTGCAAAGCTACCTCGTCCAGGTGCTCGTGAGGGGAAAATCTGACTTGGCCACGCAACTTGGATTTGGCCAGGCTGTTGGCGTCCTTGAACCCAGCTCTATCGGTAGGCATCATTACACGACCTTGCGACTGATTTGAAGATGCCCTGTTGTTTAGAATCCCTGGAAACTCGGGTGTATGATCTGACCGGGAGAAGGAGGAAGCATTTTCTCCCGAAGGGGCCGGGTTCAAGAGGCCTTTAAGGGACAGCATGATGCCAACCAGTAACGTTTACCAACACGCCGGAAGTTGCAATTTTGAGGTGAAGGAGAAGATTGTGGCATGCAGCGAGCCACGGGTTTGGTTGTAAGTAGATGCCTAAACCAAGTGGTTTAGATAGCACGGCGGGCAAGCCGTGATATAACTACTTTTGGGTTGCAGGGAAGGACAGGCGGCATCAACACACTAACTGGTGGAAACTCCTTGCCTTTCAAGTAACTGCTCAGCTTGACAAACAACTCGGGGGAAGACAAATTTGCCTGCGTGTACCGAGATGGGTGATGGCTAGGAACATAGGACGTTTCGTTTCACTCAACGGCCAACGCTGTTTGGAAACTTGCAACTTCAAAAGTCGGTCACGCCTTGATTCGGCCAGTCTGACAATCTCTGTTGCTTTTCCTTTGTCCCTTGGATATTAATATCGGCTTCCAAAGGGGGAGCGCTCTGTTGACGAGCTCCCACCGCCTGGTGCTAGCAGATACTAGGAACAGCCACCAAGTGATAGATGACGGGACGATGTCAGAGCAGGGTCGCGTGCATAGGATGAAAGAGATTGGGCTCAACTGGAAGCCTTGAATTCAAGTGCAAGGACGAGGGCTCTAAGAATCCAAAGAATAGATACGTCGTGTCCCGCCGCTACGGTTTGCCCCAGGCGTCTAGGAGAATTGCGTGTGAGTTCTGGCTCCGCTTTATCAAACACCTCTCAATATGCCCCCCAGACTTCTCCGCTACATTAGGAGGCCATAAGGCAGAGAGTGCTGCAACAGGGGGTGTAGTTTGGAACCATTGGACGTGGACAGGCCAGTCATCACGCTGTGTTGTCCGTTACACTCCCGCGATACCTCATAAACTCTGGCTTGAACTCGACAAGGCTTCCTACGGTTACCAGATTAGTTAAGAATATTACAGTTCGTCTCTCTTTGATTGCCTTTCTAGTACCTAGCAAGGACGTAAGGGCATAGCTGGGAGCTGAGCATTAAGCCGCAATAGAGAACGACCAGCGACGAATTGGCTACCTTGTCTTGTTTGAAACCGCCCCACGAGCTCAAAGCAGAGGTGAAGTACAGGCGGATGCTTGCATGCCACATCGTTCAGAGGCCTCTACCCCGGCCTGTTTTTTTATATCTGTATAACAAGGAATGGCGGTCTTGTTGCTATTGAGATGGGTCTATCTCAGCACTCCCTCAAGACTTGCTCGAGTCGCCCCCACGTGTCAGTATGACAACTGACAGCTAGAATACCTAGTCACACTTCCTTTGCTGGCACATCTTGTTAATCAACACTGCCGAATACCCTATTAGAACCGTCTCCTCTCGCTAGGGGCCATCAAAGGCAGCATTATGTGGCCCCTATTTGTCGTGAATGAGTCCTCAATCTGAACAAGAGCTGTACATAGCCGTTGCATACCACACCGACGGTTTGTTATTTGGTGAGTTCGATGACGCTTCCAGAAGTCGGTCTGCAAGCCTCCTCCCTGAGATGATCACGTCCTTTGTGATGCCTTAGACAGCATGTCATGCTTCTAGTCCTTGTTACTCTCATGAGCTTTCTGGCGTACAGGCACAAGAAAAATCCCCGAGAGGGAACACAAGCCCATGCCCGATACGCCCACCCCTCAGCGTTTGAGTGAAACGCAAAGTTTGAGGAGCCAATTGGCCTATGTTCAAGGCACGAGGCGTCAAAATCTCTGTAATCATGTATGCTGTTGAGTGTTATGCGGTTCATAACATGGAGTACTGTATGTAACCACATCTTGATATGCGAGATGCGTTGCTCACGCATAACATAGCCTCTCGCCCTTTTTTTGCTCTCTGGGTACGGGGTCATGGCCATTTTGCGGATCGGATGCCCCTGACAGAGCCGTCAACGCCGTCTCGCCAAACTCATCACACTTAACGCGACCAGCCGACGGCTCGGAAAGCGACACACTTCCGAAGTCGGGTTTCTCTGCTCAATTCTTCGAGGTTGCCTATGGGAACGTCATTTGATTGCAGCTCAGCGGGCTTTTGAAAAGCACTTGTGAGGGATAAAAGCAGGGCCTAACAACGGGATCTGGCATGTCTTGGTTGAACACCGTTGCAGTCTGCAGTGTTGGGTCTATACAGCACTGTCTAAACATGCAGATATTCTCAATCAGGAATTACGCATGACACCCGTACCTATTTTGAAAGCTGAGCGATGTGTTTGATCTCCTGCTAAGCCTATCGGACCGAGCTGTGACAGATTTGGAAACAACGGATCGTCTATATAGGTAGCAAGGTCAGTTAATGATTTCCTATTTCTCAGGACTTGGTTTCAGAAGATTGTACGATTTCGGCGAGGTGGGACAGCGGGAGGCCATGGCGAGCTGGCGTTTCTTTTGCACCAGGTGTAAAGAAAGGTACATTGCGGTTCCCTGCATCGAATTCGGTCAGTGTTACCAATTTCCTTCCCCCATCGGTGTGGCATCAGTCGCCGTGCCCATGCCAAGCAGCTGTTTTGAGAGGTAAAGGTGATGCCCATGAGTCTATATGATAGTGTTCTAAGTTCTACGCCGAAACGATTGCAGAGTTTATGCAAGAGAGGACGAAGGCGTCTATTGACCACCGGCATCGGTCAGATCGGTATAGCATGAACTGGCTTCACTCCAGACCAACAAGCTGATCGGCGATAAGAGCTTGGACATATAGATACTCCGTAGTAGTGTAGCCAGAAGAGGGCACCTAGGTACTATCGGTACCGCAAGAGCAGTGCGGGAATGCCCAGGCTAACTGAGAGTGAGGCGATAGCAGATACCTCGTTGAAGACCCTGTTGGTGATACAGCAAGCATCAGTCAAGCTAATCTCGAAGACGGTGCAACCAGGAGAATAAGTAGGAGTTAAGTTCCCATACCAGGGCGGCACACGTATCTTTGACAGAGACTTTCCTCCGTTTCAAGTCGCACATCTTGACTCGGCCCGCTAATCCAGTCTGAGCCCGGTGCATGTCTGACTTCGAGCTTGACAGGCTCGTTTCGGAGAATAGACGACCACGATACGATCAGAGCAGGGCCGGCCTCGGAACTTGACAAGTTGCCGTAGTCTCTATGGGGAAGGCTCTTATTCTGTCAAGCTTGTGGAACGTATGGCACGAGCTGACGAGCAAATGAAACGAGGCAACAGTGCAGGTTTGCTAGCTGTTGCTATATTTTATGGGTGTTTTCGGTGCACTTAATCAAACTGAGTCAGCTCACAGGCGTGAGAGGGGGCTTGAACCGAGAGTTCGTTTCATGATGAGAGAGTTTTGTAGTTCATCCCGTCTTTGAACAGGAATGTGATATTGGATTGAAGCAAACAGCGACTAACTTCTAAACTTAGGCCTTTGTTGAAGTTACGCATAATTCAAAACGGATAAATCATAAGGTCTTTTTTTCCCCCCACACAGAAGCAAGGCCAAATGCAACCACAACGTAGAAAGTTGGATAGTACCTGGTTAACAAGAGAATGAGGCTCTCACATCCATATGGGATGACTTGAATCATGTGCTGAGTAACAAGATCTGGCGTTCTCACCTGTAGTGACAGTTGTCGCCCTCAGGCCTCAGGCATCAGAACGCGGCCCCACCATGGCTGGTCAGGGGTGGACCGCCACAGTCGCGTCCCCTGTAAGATTTGTTGTTTATGTACATGCGCACAACAAAGACCCTGGTTTAGCTTACCACCACCACCTCAACAACATACTCTCGTTGATGAGAAGTCAAGCATTGACACGTCTTGGCTCCTCTTTTTCACCTTTGTTGTCGCGACTTCATGCGCGAGCAACACCCTTTGCTCGCTTTAACTGTCCTTTGAGCTTGAAATATTTGTTCTCATCGCCCCCCTTGTATACACTCTCTTTGTCCTTACATAGTACTACCTGGCCGTCTCAAGCCAGATTCTTTTCTCCCACTTCAAACATCAACAAAATGGATTCCGACGAGTCTATGTTCAGTCTTGAGGACGAGTCTGACGGCTTCGTTCCTGAAACTGTAGGTTACTTTCTTCTACCCCTGTCTGCTTCACCATGATATATTGAATCTATGGTTGCTTTCTTCTGCCTACCCGCTTCACCTCCCTCATCACCGCGCACCGCGCACCACAGCTTCCTGATTCCTTTGAACCTTTTTTTCTACATAAAACAACAGCACCTACACATTTTCCACTGATCTTCTACTGCGCACTTGAGCTAAAGCCTTGAACAGAAAGCGAAGCCCAAGGCCGCGCCCAAAAAGCCTGCCGCGCCCAAAAAGATGGTGCAATCAACCCTCAAAACAAAGGCCCAGCCTAAGAAGCGCCCTACTCCAGAGAGCGACAACGACGATGCGAGTGTTGCCTCTGATGCCTCCAGTACGCCGCCCAAGGCGAAGAAGCAAAAAATGGAGGCCGAGGACGACGACATGATCATCGACAGCCCTGCCAAACCTGCCAAGCAGAAGACGGCCACCGAAATGTACACAAAACTCACACAGCTCCAACACATTCTCAAGCGACCTGACACGTATATCGGTTCTGTTGAAAGAACAGAACAGCAACTATGGGTTCTAAACAAAGAGACTCAACTCATGGAGTACAAAGCTATCAATTTTGTGCCTGGTCTCTACAAAATTTTTGATGAGATTCTGGTCAACGCTGCCGATAACAAACAGCGCGACAGCTCCATGACATACATGAAGATCAATATCGACCGTGAGGCCGGTGTGATCAGCGTCGAGAACAACGGAAAGGGCATTCCTATCGTGCTTCACGAAAAGGAGAATATTTATATTCCTGAACTCATCTTCGGACATTTGTTGGCAGGTTCCAACTTCGACGATGACGAGAAGAAGACCGTTGGTGGTCGTAACGGCTACGGTGCCAAGCTATGCAACGTCTTCAGTACTGAGTTTAATCTCGAGTGCCAGGACAGTGTAAGTGGGAAGAGGTACAAGCAGACATGGACCAACAACATGAACACGATGCACAAGGCCAAAATCACTGCTAGCAAAACCGCCAGCTACA